AAGTTTTCATTCTCCAATAAAAAAGATCCGCAGCCGGTAGGATTCGAACCTACGCTCCCAGAGGGAATCTGATTTCGAGTCAGACGCCTTAACCACTCGGCCACGACTGCTTGCATATCTATGACGTAATATGAAAACAATTTTAAGGTTTTTGGAAGCTTTATTAAATGTTCTTTTTTGTACTAAATAGGTGTGCTTCAGTCCGGCGGGCGGGAGCCTGCTGACCGCGTCCGCAGACAAAACCGCCAGGATATGGAACTCCAACACTGGGAACTGCTTACAAGTAACTTCTAATACTATTTAGTTAATTCATATTTAGAACCGTGATCCACAAATTGATTCCACTAGGTAACAACAGTGGAAACGTAACACACCACTATGTCAAATGAAGTTTGCTACTAAAGCAAATAAATAAAGAATTTGTAAGGGAATATTCCGATTTCTTACTGATGCATGCAGTGACTAGATGGTCATGGACGTTGTAATATGTTATTATACTTGAATTAAATGTATCTTTAGTTTTATAAATAAAAGAGAGTCCGTTTAGATTCAGATCAACATTTAGGAAACATGGTAAATGCGAGTTCGACATACAATGACAAATGTATCATTTATAGGAACTGGTGCATAACAAATCGTTGGCATAGATTTAACATGTATGTAGTTATATGAATAGTTACCCCGCTCGTCGTCCAGTCATCCGACACAACGAACTCAACCTGAACAAATACCTACTTCTACTCTAAAACAATAATAAAAGTATTTTGATTTGGATCAACTGTTTTAAGGAATATTGGATTTTATGTTTTCAAGTGAGTGGCTAAAACTATTTTCGGTACCTTCTCTCATCTGCCAAATCTTTCAATCCTTTAACGGAAAAGGTAGGAAATAGACTAAAGAAATATAAAGAGAGTAGTGTCCATATGAGTCTAAATTGGGTCTTCTACAGCACATTCTGCAAGTCAAGCGTTGAGATAGTACAGTCAGCTGCATAAATATACCTTTGCAAAGCTCAAAAAATTGCATAGTCGGTTTCAAAAATATGAATGCACTAGCTTTCGCCCGCGACTCCGTTCGCGTGGAATTAAAAAAAAACAAAAATGAGTAGCCTATGTGTTCTTCCAGAATATCCACTACATCTATACCAAATTTTAACGAAATTTGTTCAGCCGTTTAGGCTACAAACTCTAACAAACGTTGTTCCATCCTAGATGGATGGATAGATGGACTTTCGCATTTTTTTAATATTAGTACGAATACGATTAGTATGATAAATCTATAACTGCGTTCAAACGAATGAATTCTGTTGACCAGTACGTGCATATTTTTGAAACCCCATGCCAGTTTCTAAAGTTTAAGAAATGTATCCATATTTTTGCAACTGACTGTACACTGATCTGTCTTTATGGCCGTGTTATCAGTAGAGTGGAAACCAGTTAATGTCTTACGAACATTGTCAGGTGCTTTCGGGTCATCAGAGCGAGATATTCTCGTGTGCCTTCTCGTACTCTGGCGACACAATCATCACCGCTTCCAAGGACAACTCCTGCAGGGTCTGGAGGTGACTGGACTGGTGGCTAACCCTCGGAGATGGAAGATAAGTCGTGTGTTCGCACTGTCGAAACTTTTACGTAAACTAGTTTTAAAACAATGTGTGTTTATAGTTGGATGTTTTCTGTTGATGTCTTGGTATATATTTTTATAGTTGTTTCAATTTTGTTGCTAAATAATAATTACTATATGAGTGATGAAAAGCAGAATAGGGAAAGTAGGTATAGGGAAGATAAAATAATGATTTTGTACTGGTAATAATTTAACTAATATACTGTAATTGAAATTAATGTGTGAATAAAATCAATAATTTTTTTACTGTTTACGTAATCATTTTAGTATAGTAGTGATTAAAAATTGTAAATCCAAATATAATAACAAGTAGATACCAAGATGAGATCGTGCAGTAATACGTTGTTGGTACAAATGACATTATTGCAGGGTTTACGATAAATTAAACTTGTTAGAGAAATATTTTTTAAACACTTTAAATAAATATACCATAACAGTCCTGTCATTTAATTCCAAACTTCAAAAAGACCTTGTTAAAAATAAAAAAAGTTTAATGAACAAAAGACGATCGTCAATCGGGAGAAAAATCGGGAGTTGCATTGAATATGCGCCGGAGTAGCGACATCCCGCGGGAGGGCGGCGCGGAGGGGACCGGCCGGGTCAAATGTACACCGATAACCGATACAAGTACAGTCGCGTACACACACATTTCGACAACTATTATACATTTAACATTTCACCAGCTTTGAAGATAAATTAAACAACACACTGTCAAATGTACAATAAACTTGTAAGCTACACAAACATCGTTGACAAGTATTTTTGTATTAGATTGTACCAGTGTGTAAATAATATATAATCCCAATTTTCTATACTATTATAATAAATTTTTAATAATATCTTTGTTGCTTAAGATGCATGCAATTTCAGCATATTATTGAATAATTCTTTTTCTACTAAAAAGCCCTACACGTGCGTCACGCTTTAGGCTATATATTTTAGCGCCATTAAAATTAGGGGGTAAATATTTTTGATAAAAACCCTAATGTGGGAAAGAGACCATAAGTTGCTGCCAACATCAAGGAAGCGAGGTTGTCATCATGTCATGTCATTTTGACTTCTGTAATTGATAATTTGACAAATGTAAACAATAAAATAAAATTTTCATAATTTCATGCGGATGAAACCGCACAGGAACAGCTAGTAAGCAGTAAGTATGCTTACATCTATTGATCTATTGTTTACACTTACTGTTAACATTAAATGAATAACGATTTATGTGCTTGACTGTACGTATTACGTAAACGAGTTAGCACTTGTCGGCTTCAGATTGCTCATTATCACTCAACGCGCGGACGCGAGCAGACGTCATCGCGGTACAGTCACACAATGCGACACGCTACTTACCTTCTAGTGCTCCTGTTAGGCACCGCAGTCGCCTATAAGAATGAAACAAAGGAGTTCGTCGTGCCTTTAGACCATTTCGGCTTCCAACGCAATGAGACCTTCAAAATAAGGTACATCGAAAGTGAAGAATACTGGAATAGGGGTAATGGACCTATATTCTTCTACACCGGTAATGAGGTAAGGTTTTCTTTACGGTTGTTTTGTTGTCAAAGTGTCAAGTGATACATCTGATTTGAATTGAAGTGAAATGGAACTCGATCCATTTCGATATTCTGAATTCAAAACATTTGTTCCGTTTCTTATTGAACAGGATAAAAGGTTTCCCTTTATTATACTTATTGACAACATTGGTGAAATAAGTTTCGCTGGCGTTCTGTCATATAATAAACTAGCTTTTACTCGCGACTTCGCCTGCGTATATATAAAAAAATGTTAAAAACATAGCCTATGTTACTCAATGATAATATAGCGTATCAATGGTACAAGAATTTTTAAAATCGGTTCAATAGTTTTTGAGATATTTCAATACATACAAAAACACAAATCTTTCCTCTTTTATAATATTAGTAAAGATTCTACTAGAAAACATGTTTATATTAAGACTTTGTATTATGATTTAGTGTGAAGTCAACCAACACGCAGTGGGCCAGCGTGGTTGATTGACCTAGTCAGTCTAACTTAGGGTAGGCTCCGAGTCCCTCCGTGGGGACGTGCAGTGAGCTGGTGATGATGATTATGACTTTATATAGATTAAAAGTATTTCAAAATATATCAAAACATGTTAATAGATGGTATTAACCTTTTATCAGTTACATTTGATCTTAAACAAAGTAATGACATAAGGGTAAATAAACATATAATATAGATTGTAAATTTTGCTATACCGATAACAGATTGTATGTACTCAGTTCATTAGGACCAACAAACATTGCTATGCGGAAGCTACTATACGTGAATATGACTTCGTATTTTTTACAATAGCAGAATGTCCAAGAAAATTTAACATAAACGAAAAGGCTACCTCCACCTTTCCGTTTGTTCTCCCTGGGCAGCTTCACTTTACACTACATTTTCGTTTTAGAAAATAATTTTCCTGTTACAGGGTCAAATCGAACAATTCGCCAAGCATACCGGCTTCATGTGGGAGATCGCGAGAGAATTTGAAGCAAAGATTGTCTTCGCAGAACATAGGTTAATTTAATAATCAACAGTTATAATATTTAGATTAACAAGTAATACTAAATTAAACGTTTGAACAAATTTCAGGTACTACGGCAAGTCGATGCCTTTTGGAGATAAGTCTCTGGACAACGAGCACATCGGATATCTGACCTCAGCTCAGGCCCTCGCAGACTACGCTCAATTGGTGAACTTCCTTCAGGGTGGCAAGGATTTGAAGCCTAAATATCCAGTTATTGCTTTCGGTGGTAAGATATTAAAACAATGGTTCAATAGTCTTGCATGTAGATATTGTCAATTTCTGGCGCATTTACCTTGCAAGTGCATACTAGTAAGTTACCATTGGCACGTTAGCTATTTTAAAAATATGTATGTATGTTATTACCATTCTGTTTCAAATTCTTAACAAATAACCAAAGAATTTATTTATTACTATAGATAACTCGGATTTCCATCCGTGACCTCGAGATTGACACCAGTCGGAAGCTCGTGTCTTTATCTGTGAAATAATAAAAAAATATACAATGATATGACTGCTTACAAAATTGGAAAATCATCCTAGAGGACTTCCACGTAGATTCATAATAATAAAATCAATAAATATCTCGCTACAGGTTCTTACGGGGGCATGTTGGCGGCATACTTCCGTATGAAGTACCCTCATTTAGTGACTGGCGCTATCGCAGCCTCAGCGCCTGTCCACATGTTCCCTGGCATGGTACCCTGCGAGGTCTTCTACAGGATAGTCACCTCCAGCTTCAACGTTGCCAGCAAAGTCTGCCGGGATAACATCAGACAATCATGGAGTGTGCTCAGGTGTTTGATAGACCATAGATATTTCCACAATTTCTACATTTAATTTTTGTCTGTCTGTATTACATTCGGCTGAAAAATACATTTAACATGTTTCTTTTTACGTCTTTCCTTCCAGAACCTTCGTTGCGAATAAAACGAATGCTGATTGGCTGAAGAAGCAATGGAACTTGTGCACGGCGGTGAGCGAAAGCAAGGAAGATGTGCAAGACTTGGTGGAGTACCTGCAGGGGATGTACGAGACCCTCGCGATGGTCAACTATCCCTTCGCTACCGACTTCCTCCTGCCCCTGCCGGCCAATCCCGTGCGCTCCGTCTGCCAGTACTTAAACCAAAAACTTACTGGACAAAAATTACTAGAGGTTATTTAAAGTACACTTATTTATTTTAGATTTACTCTATTTTACATGACAACTGTAATGTCTCTTTGTAAATTTGTACTTTGATTAATGCATAGAGATTATACTCGTAAGCATAAGAAAGGTATGAATTCGAACTTAACCCTAATACAAAATTAAATAGAAACACTTTTCGTTGAAGTAAATAACCAGGCAATATTTTACAGGGTATAGGCAAAGTGTTGCAAGAATACGCCAACTACAATGGTAAAGGTGACTGCGTTAACTACAAGAGCACAGATTATGGCAACCTCAACGCCAGTGGCTGGGATTACCAAGTAATGATATATTTTTATAGTTTATCTAATTGATTTTAGAGTAAGAAAAATATTAAATGAGATAACTTGACGTAATTAAATAATTTGTCTATAACCAGGCTTGCACGGAGATGGTGATGCCGATGTGCACGAACGGCGACGATGACATGTTCGAGCCAAAGCCGTGGAACTTCACAGAGTTTTCGGAGGACTGTCACAAGAAATTCAAGGTGTATCCGCGCCCCGACGCCGCCTGGCTAGAATACGGCGGTGACCGTCT